CATAAAAGTCCCAGAAGGGGGAAAAAAAAAGGAGTGGATAGAAGTGAAGAAATGAATGAATATCAAAAAATAGAAAATTTCTGTAGACTTAAAAATTTTTTAAGGCCTGAATCTGCAGATCTAAAGAACTCACTACATTTTAGTTTGGATTAATGACTAAAGACTTAAAATAGGCATATGCATATACAGATATAATTCCTACAGACTTAAGGATGAAGAGAAAACTCAAGCTTTTAGGCACAAAGGGCAAGTTAACTAAAAAGAAAAATAAGATTAGACTTCTCATTTGTATGTTGGAAGCTAGAAAATGGTTAGATAGCAGCTACAGATTAAGTTAAGGGGTGGCAATCCATCAGCGTCTTGGTGAAGTAAATATTTGAGGATTTGCAAAAATTCAGTCTGTATCACTCAGGTCTCCCCCATGTGAAAAAACAAAGAAGGAACTCTAAACAAATGGTAAATAAACTAAAAACAGAAAAATTATGGAAAATGAAACAGGAAACCGAGGTGTAAAATAAATAATAAAACTAAAGTCATATATTAAAAAATGCAATAAAATATCAGTCGTTGTGCTAAAGGTGAATGGACTGAATTTTCTTATATAAAGGCAGAGACAGGGTCAAGCAGCAAAATCCAACCATATGCTGTTTACAAGAACACCTGTCAGGTTGGTCAGAAAGCTACCAGGCAAACAAAAGAGAAGAAATTTCAATATTGCAGAAAACAAATTGAAAGTTAATTTAAGAATCAAAGAAAGATGGACTTTACATGTTGAATAAAGACAATTTATGAAGAAGTATCATAGTATCAAACCTGCTAAATACATACAGCAAATATGTATACATTTGAGAACTTTATTAAAAAATGCAGTTCTATGGGAAAATTCAATACATTTGTGTCAGAATTAGATCTAGAAGACAAAAAAAGTAAGGCCATCCAGAAATCGAATATTTAAAAGTCTTGTTTAAATATAATTAAGTATAATTAAAAATCTTTATTTAAAAGGTACATGGAAACTTACATCCTGAGAATAGAGAACACATTTTTGTGTCCGTAGAAAATTAACAAAAACTAATCTTGAAATGGTCATTACCAAGGCTTTTAGAATGGAGTTTCTGATTTGTGGATGTGACCACAAAACATTTTGCCCACTAGCTTTTTTTCTGCTATGTTACTAGCATTCAGCCTATTGGGAACATTTTATTTAAAAAAATTTTTTTTAATTAAAATAAATTAAAATTTTGTTTTAAACCCAGCTAATCGTGAGTTTGCCATACTCATTCTCAGCTGATGAATGTGGTTTTAACTGTCCTTATTAACTTTGCACCCTATTAGTTTAGTTTTATGAAGAGAAATCTTTACGTTTTTTCCAAGGTACTTTTTTGCTAGTAACTGTTAATTAAAAAGACTTGCATTTTCAATTTTATTATGTAGCATTTTGAGAAAAAATTTAACTTTTTTGCAAAAGTCATAGAGACAAAACAGAAGGTTCTTCAGTAATAATGCAAAAAGGGGCAAGCGATCCTCACAAGGGTTACTTTCCATGTGAGAGCTAAATAAAAAGGGAAAAACAAAAAATTGCACTAAAATGTATGATATTGTAAAACTTAAGTGTTTATGTAAAATTAAATATGGTCAGGTATATGTAAATTAAAATGGAAAATGTCTAATTCATTTTTATTAGGTACAGTTTAGGACTTTGTGCTTCTAAATTTTTACTTTAACTTTTTATTTTTCATGGACTAAATATGTTCTATTTCATGTTTCTACAAGCATGTTAGGGATGGTTTTATTGGGTTGTCGGAAAAGTCATGACGCATTTTTGCAACAAATAACAGAAAAAATACGTCATGACTTTTCCAACAACCCAATAGAACCCAAACCTGTAATATTCATAGCTTTAAGATGTACATATTTATGAATATAATATTCAGCATATTACCTGAATGGTTGTCACATAATCAATGAACATAGTAAGTAGGAGCCCAAACCAAGAGAGTTTACCTTGTTTTTCTCTCACCTCTATATTGTTGGTTATTCTTTTGAGTTAGTTTTTATATGAGTCTTATAACCTAGGGCTCTGATTTCTGACGGTGATTGAGGTTGTTGGGTCCATCTGGCTAATTGGCATGCCTGAGCCCTTAGTATCAGTGGCGTAGAGGGTACAGTTGTTTAATGCCAATGAACACTGGCTCCTACTTTGTCAATAAGGTTTAAAGCTCTCCATGAAGATTCCAGCTGGAGAAATGATACTTTAAACAAGGTTATGGACAACTCTAGAATCTCCCAAGTCTTGCAGCTAGTCAATTGGAAAAGATCTTTAGCATGGATAACCCTGAGAAAAAGGAAGCTGTCCTACAAGAACACACATTTGCCCATTTGATCTGGGGTGCTGTCATCTGAGAGACAATTCTAATTACTGAAGCTGCTGGACCTATTAGGGTCTAAGCCAATTTTGAGGTCCCTGTCTTCAGGGGCCAAGGCCATAAATTCACACAAGAGTAGCTCTAGTCATGTGGCATTTGTATGAAATTGCACTATCCATGTATCAACACAGAGTCATCATGACCTTGATGCTTGATTTGGCTCAAATGTTCCTCAAATATATCAAGTAGGCTCTTGTCTGAGGGCCTTTGCACTTGCTATTTCCTTCTGGAATGCTCTATCTCCCAGATATCTCATGGCTCATGCTCTTGCTTTCTGCAAGTGTCACCTTAACAGAGTGTCGTCCCTTTCCACCCACAGAGAAGTGGCGGCCACCTCCTAGCCCCCAGCCCCTGCACGAGGGCTGTTTTTCTTCATAGCAATGATCACTATCTGTGGGGGCCCAGCTGTCAGGGCCTCCCAGGGTCAGGAAATGTTTACAGACTTTGGAGACCGGCAGCCCTGACTCCCCCAAGCCCAGGTGGGACTGCAAGAAAACAACTTGTTTATGTGAGTTGTTCCTAGGGCGCATGTGTGCTAGCTCCACGACACTATTGTTATTGTGTTAGAAAAACCCCAGTTCTGCTTAAGTGGGTTGGGTTCTGGGTTCTGCAAATGTTGTCTTCTGAGTGCAGCTACTACTGCTGCTGCTGCTGCCTCTGCTGAATAAATTGTTGAATTCATGTTAAAGACTCTGCAAGGCTTTTTTTCCGTTTGGGTACCTCACCGCCGAAACTGTCCCTGCTTCAAACACTCAAACCCAACACCACCTGATATACTACCTCATTAACCGTGTTTCTTCAATACAATGCAAGCTCCATGGGAGGTGCGGGTGGGAGGGCGCCAAACTTTGGATGTTTGTTCGCTGCTAGAGAAGGCTCAGAAAACTGCCCGGCACGAAGTAGGTGCGCAGTAATTATATGGATCATTCGGAGTCAGCCAGTGTGGGAAAGGCCAACCGAAGCTAGGGTCCAACGCCCAGGCCCTCTCTCTCCGCCCCCCATCCGTTTCCCACGTGTTATTAGTTACCGGGAAAGGAAGGAGGCTGCGCACCCCCAGGGGTGCTGCATGCAGAAGATCCGATATAGAACAATGTATCTTTTCCCAGGAACACTGCATGGTAGAGCGAATACGAGGCTCAGGCCAGGCTGGAGAGCGTGGGAGCAACCCCTTTCTGGCCAGCCAATGGGAAGAGAGCTTTGCTGGGCGGGGTGGAGTGTCCGCCGCATTCAAGACCCGCGGAGGGCTCTCGACGCGTTTGTTCCGCTCGCGGCGGAGGACGGAGAAAAAGCAAAAGAGCGAGTTCCCCTTTAGNTGACTGCTTCATGGAAATAGCCTTTAAGACCAAGATTTAATTAGATTACTCTATTTGGGGCATTATTATAAGAAATAAAATACTGCTTCTAGAGGTTTTTTTGTTCTAGAATAGTGTCATAGATTATGTAAAAAAATGCCTGCATTAACTCTCCATTTTAATCTATATCTTTGGGTGTTTTCCTTCCACAGACTTCAGTCTTGGCTATACAATTTGCTTTGGTCACTGGGACAATAGCAAAAGTGATACAAGCAGAGACTTGAAAAGTGTTTGTGCATTGGGACTTTCCCTCTCTTTTGCTGGTTTTAAAATTCTGTGACCCCCACAGAATTTTAATGAACCTGGGCTAGCCTGCTTGAAGAGGGACATATAGTTAACCCATTCCCATTATCCCCACTGATATTGACCAACTGCCAGACCTATGAGTTAGGCTGTCCAGCCTAATCGTATACCTTCCAGCCCCAACCAAGTGACTCCATGATAGAAGATCCATGTAACCAATTAGAATCATAAAAAATAATAGTTTGTTTTGTATCACTAAATATGAGGTTATACAGCAAAAGATAACTTGTACAAATAGTATGAAGAGAGAACAAATTTAGGACCACACAAAACTGATTATGTGTGGAGATCTGTGCTTTAAATGTAATCCAGAAAATAGGAGTAATAATCGCAAATACCTATTAATTACATAGTCTTGGAAGATGTCTTGCTTTGTTTATCTTCTACTTGTCATCTGACTTAAGACCCATTTTTGACACTGTTTCTTCCACCTCAATATACCTAGATAAAGAACCAAAATACTCAACAAAATCGGTCCCAGAAGAAATTGTTCCCTAAGAACTGGGATAACTTTACCTACTGACATGACATTTGTGTAGTTCTCCCACATGACCTCTCTGTAGAGCTTTTTTTGAGAAAAATCCAGGAATTTCCACTCCTCCCAAGTAAAAATAACAGTCACATCTTCAAATGTTACTGCCATCTGGTCAAAGATCAGCCTTTCCGGGAAGAAGAAATCTAAGTGAGAAGATGGACAAAGAAAAAGACATTCATCAGGTAACATAAATGGCAAATCAAATAGAAAAGGAAAAAACTTCAATAATGAAAAACAAGAAAGGCAAGAGGAGAGATATTAATAGTCAAATGAATAAATAAAATATTCAGTCATTGAACCCCATCGCTAGTATAAGAAACATTTATATATAATAGCATTTGTCTGCTAGCCACTGGGCAAACTACTTCACATATATTTCAATAATCCTCACAGCAATCCCATCTTGTAGATACTACT